CTATTCTTCTAGTCCATGCTTCTGTGCAGATATCTGTTTAGCCCCCCTCGTGATGAACTCTTCAGTTGCTTATCTGTTACAGATAAACCGAAAGAAATACTAAGTTGGTTTTCAGGGGAGACATTTGACCCCATGATTACACTTTATGATGAATAACAGTACAACCATTTAAACACTTCTTTGTATGAAAGATTGGTGTTGGCTCAGACTAGACAGTAGGATTTAAGACCCACCATGGGGAAGAAGGTATGGTGGTGGATGGCTTCATGGAAGTGGGAACATAAAGCACTTTGCTCACATCTCACCAGACCAGGAAGCAACAACAGAGAATTAAGCTGGAAACAGACTTAGCTATGTCCACCAAAAACTATCTCTAACTAACCCGCTTGCTCTAACTAGACTTCCGCATTCCAAAGGGCCACAATCTCCCCAAATAGCACACCAGATGGTACTAAGTGTTGAAACATACAAGCCTATCTGGGATACTTACGTTCAAATCATGATACTTTCCTATTACTTTCTCTTCTTCTGCACCTTCCCCTTTCCTGATGAAGTTTATGCAAAATAGTTGCTTTTATTCCTACTTCCTGTCTTCCTCTCTCACTTCCCATTCTCGCATACACATCCAATCAAAAAGGATGCCAAGTGCTTCACTCATGCATGGTGGTCGCAAAATAAAGAACCTGAGAGAACTCTAGCTGTGCAACAGCTTGGCAGAGACAAAAGAGGCTCCCAGGGAACTGTGAACAACTGGAGACTGGTTACTAGAGGGTCAGCATCAACATATGACGGTGATCAAGAAGAGGGCATCCTTTTGTATGTGAGTCCAGAAACCATGGGACTCCTGCAGTTGCAATCAATCCTGCCCTTGACCCAGCCATCGATTAAAGGAATGTCTTTCTTCTGTTGTATTTTCTCCCTCTCCCTTCCCTCTCTCTTTCTCTCCCTTCCTCCCTCTGTTCATCTCTTCCTTCCTCTTCTCTTCCTTTTTCCTTCCCTTCTATCTTTTCCCTTTACTGTACCAACTGATGGCTTCTGACATCTCCCTTTGTCCAGCCAACCTACTCAGTTTTCAACATCCTAGATGCAATTCACTGCTGTTTCTCAACCTATCTACACAGACTGTTCTATTCTTGCCCAGTTCACCAAGATTCTTACTCTTCCTGAAGATCAACTTAGAGTTTCTTTTATTACCTAAAACAGTCAAGAAAGTGAAAAATATATCATTAGAAGCATGAACTCAAACAATAAAGATATGTATCTGAGATGGTTAATACTAGGGACTTGGGATCAACCCACTTGGTTGGAATGCAAGGGGTTTTAGTGTTTCACAGAGAGACGGTAAGCTATGCAAAACAATTAGCTTTTTGGACAACTAAGTAGGTTAAAATCATCCTTTGGGAATATTTTTGGTTCAGTCTGTTGAGTGGGATCCAGCAAAAGGTAGCTGTAGGCACAGGAAGTACCCAGGAAGCCTTCTCAGACAGGCAACTTTGACTGCTTAAGCAACATGACAACATAAAGCTTGCAAATGAAGCTCCTAAGACACTCTGAGCAAAGGCTCCCTCATCTCCTGGATGCAGGATGGAGAAGACAATGTTCATCACTGAAGCATGAGACCAAAGTAGGAAGAAAGTAGTGTCTTGGGTGAACGAACAGAGTTTGATTTGGCTTCAACTGTTCCTCGGAGCCAGAACTGACAGACTGAATGTATTAATCACTCTCCAGTTGCTGTGACAGAACCCTGAGAAAAACAACTCAGAGAAAGGAAAGAGTTCTGCTCGCTATTTCAGATGCTTCAGTCCATTATGGTAGAGAGGACAGGGTGGAGAAGAACAGCTACTTCCTGCTGGAGGGGGAGAGAGAGGGGGAGAGAGAAAGAGAGGGGGGGGGAGAGACAGAGACAGAGAGAGAGAGAGAGAGAGAGAGAGAGAGAGAGAGAGAGAGAGAGAGAGAGAGAGCTCTAATGGGCTTTTTCTCTTTTCTGTTTTATTCTGTCTGGATCCCCAGCCTAAAGGAGGGTGCCACTTTCTTCAGATGGGTCTTCTCCCTTAGTCAATCCCAGAAACACCCTCAAGGACATAGCCAGAGACTTGCTTTACAAATCTCTTGCATACTTCTCTATCCAATCAAATTGACAATCAAGAGAAGGAAACACTAAAATAACTTCTCCCTGTTAATTAATTCATGGATTAATAACTGTGACACAGTACACATGAAAGCATTATCTGACAGGTGGGAGAGGTCAAGGAAACCTTCTGTTAGACATTAATTTTACAAGTTGTAAGAAATTGCTTTGAGGCCTAAGTTCAACCAATGAGCCTGCTAACATGCGTTTCCTGTGACATTGTGTTTAGCAAACACATCACCCTGGCATGTGAAAAGCCAGAAAATAGACATTTGCTCATAGGAATCAGCTCTGTACATCATGCACACTGGCCAAATGTATCCAAAGGACCCAAATGCCAAAGGAGTGTCCTGACAAAAGTAAAATGGCAAAGGATAGCCACATACTAGAAGAAGGAAACAAATGATTGCTGAAGCCAATGGCAACATCAAATGCTGGATTCCTGTCAAGGTCAGTAAGCAAGTCAGACATGGATCCAAGCCACAAAGACACTGTCCCTGGTGAAATTCCAGAAGTTAGTGGGGCAGTTTCCTAGCCAGCCATGGATCCCATGGTTAGCAGAGAAGAACACCCAAGAGTGAGGGACATGGGCTACTCTGGCTGCTGGAGCCCTTGCTCCCCAGGGGTGACACTAATCCAAACTCAATAGGATCTGGAATCACCATGGAGATGAATCTCTCTGTTCACGGGTCTGAGGGAGTTTCAACATTATATTATCTGAGGAATGAAAAGCCACTCTAAATGGGCCAGGGTCCCAGACTGAATAAAAAGAGAAAGCAGCAAGTGGAACACTGGCACTCATCATTGCTCTCTGCTTCCTGACTGTGGATTCAACACAAGGAGCTACTCTGCTCTCTGGCTGCCATGCCTTCCTTGACCTGAGGCACTGTAACTTCCCCCTTGAATCAGAACAAGCCCCTTTTTTCTTAAGCTGATCTTCTGAGGTGTTTACCAAAGCAAGTAGAAAAGGAACTGGTCCACCTAGGAACTAAACAACTCTTCTTAATCTTGATTTCCTGGCCTTGGGAGTGGACTGAAGTTTCTAAAACCACCGACACTCTAGTCTCAGGGAAAGTCTCAACTTACATGAGCAGTGGTTAGGAGCCAGTCCTCAACGTTTGTACAATGAGACACTTTTTCCATCTCTTGCCTTTTCAATTTTTCAGAAACTATCGTATCTGCTTGCTAGCGTGTAGTATGGAACAGCAAATTAACACTTTCTTCCCCTCTGTGGCTATAGGTAGGATATACCGTCTTCATAGACATATAATGTGAGCTCCCATACACCACTGTACTGTTTGTCTCAGGGCCCATAGCCTCCCATAGGTCAGCAGCTTCCAGTCCCAGCACATGGCCTGTACATGAGTTCATTTCTGAGAGGCAACAATTGGTATCATGTTCTGAAGGCAGAGAGAGGTAGGGAGGGTCATGTTTCTTCTAAAACTCCATCCTTGAACACTTCATTTCCTTATCTCTTGCTTGCTGTCCCAGCACACCGAAGGGAGCAGGAGAATGATGCTACTTGGAAAGAAAATAAAGTAATAGGCATGTTTAACTTTATACTCTATAGCTCTGAACAGACTAAATACCAAATAGCTCCCACTCCTTTTTACTTACAAAACCTCTCACAGTTTTTAGAAAATACTGAAAGGGGAACTTCAAAGGCATGACAAGATAGATGAGACAGCTAGGGAACAGAGATGGAAGCTCCTTCATGATGAGAAACAAAAGTCTGCTCTAATCCCCTGTGTGATAGGAGCTTAGCTGATCAGGGGGGCAAAGAGCCGTTCTGGTGGAGTAAAGAGCTAACACTGTCAGCTGTTTGCTTCTTCTTGTCTCCTCCTCCTCCTTCTCCTCCTCCACATTTGCATATGCAAATTCCACAGCAAGAAGACCAGCTAGACAATTGTACCCAGGGCAGAAGTATCCCTGTAATCAGTCGGCTCCTTGGAGGTACAAAGTTCCCTGACCTCCAGTTCCACCTGCTCACTCTGACATGGGGTGATGTTCAGAAGCAGGATATGCTAAGTGATTCCAAAACCTGTGGAGGAAGCCACAGCCAGAAAAATAAATAGTGCCTTAAGTCGTCACCCTTCTGAAATTTTGAGAGTTTTGATGTTTTTCTTAAATGATAACAATTTTATTCCCAAAATGTGTTATTCTATCGCAAAGGAGAGCCCAAGTCAGACTTCATGGGGTCCTAGCCTCTGATTCCAGTGGATATTGAAAAAAAAATGTGGGGAAATTGGAAAAAAATACTGCTAGCCTCACCAAAACTAAGTTCCTATGTGCAATGGCAAATAAAGACAGTGGGAAAATAATTACTGGGGAAAAACAAGTGAAATTTCTAAAACATCCCTGTACCCTAAAGTACAGATTTTTCTTCTACAGCAATTTTATATACTGCGGTCACATGTCCTGGCTCTAAGAGAACAAACTGGGTTGTCTTTAAAAGTCTCTGGAGTTACACAGTTACCAGCAGATCTGTGTGCTCGGCTTTCTTTTACACTGCAGGGCCATTTGACCAGAGAAAAGTGACACATTCTCCCCTTATGAGCAGACCACAGGAAACAGAAGAAAGCAAAGTGCATTTTACACAAGCTTTCCATTTCTGCCAGCAGTGGCTAACCCACTGGCATGCACATCTTGCCCCAAATTCACTGGAGGGGTTGGAGGCGGGGCTGGGAGGATGTTCTACATAGCAAGCTCCATTCTGAACTCTGAATCCAACACAGCAGTGCCAAACAGAGAGACCAGGCACACAGCAAGGTTTCTGTGGGAACTGTGGGGCATGCAGAAGACAGTCCGTTGGAAAAAAGACCAACGATACAGATCTATTTACACAAGGAAGGCTGAAATGGGGTGCACTTACTGAATGCTGAACCTGATCAGGGAAGTCGTAAGTCCCACTTTCATGAGGTCTTTGAGCAGTTTCCTAAAGAAGAGAAGAGGAGGAGACATGAGAAAGGGAATCCATACACTTGTGCTGTGTTTGCGGGCAATTTCGGTTTTCCTATGCGTGCCACTCCAGTTATACTAGCACTAGCTGCTTCTAAAACAGATCCTGACTGTTTTAGACAATAAGACAATAAGAAAACAAAGACTAAGTTCCTCAATGTGTTTATTAAATCTTTACATCCTCCAGCATGTAAGGTGTGACTATTTTGTCAGGAGAGGCCACTGGGCTCAGAGTGTGAGTGAATATAATGCATAAAGACTGGAACTTGATCACCAAATCTGGAGGCCTTCTCTGCTCTGCTTCTCTCTTACACTGTGATTGCTGGGTCCCACACAGTCATAGGGAGTTGATAGTCAGGGCTCATATTATAGATTTCATAAATGGAGCTAAATTCAGCGAAGCAAGTCCTAAATTTCCCTTTAACTCTGAACGTGTAGTACTCTATGGCGACCAACTGAATGATAGTCAGACATGTAGAAGGAGTGATGACCTAGGAGTGTAACTCCCTTGCTTAATGTGCACAAGGTCCTGGGTATTAGCTCCAGCACTACCAACAGAAAAATAAACTAAAACAAAATTCGTAGGACGCAGACATGAAAAGGTGGTCACTTACAAATAAAAATGGCCAGGATTCACTAATAGACTTAGAATCTTTTCAGGGTACCCTAGAGTAGGTTGACTATGACCTGCTTCTTCCTTGGAGAAAAACAGAAATAACAGAAGCAGAACTGATTTTCAGGGTTCTGGAATCCCAGTTCAGGGATTACTCAATTACTAGGAAACAGTGTCAAAATTTGCATGAAGACAGCAATTCACAGGTTTCAGATTTAATTTTAAACATTATTTGCAGACACATTAAGAAATACACCATTTCCTATATGTGCTTCTATACATGTGATGGAAACAGGTATAGAAAATGTTCCAGTTTGGTGAGTCTATGAGAGTTGATAAATTAGTGATCAAGATCATCAAATGGTTTCAAACTGTTGGGAAGAAAGTAGAAATGTAGAGATACCTGAGAATATACAGAGCTCTGAAGTGATAAAGGGTGGGAGTCCTCCTTTTACTTTATGTTTCTATTTAGGTAACATCTTTTAGCCAGTGTAAAATCTCATGAACGATTGAACAAATGTCCATTTACCTATTCATCCACCCCTCTACCCATCTATCCCCCCACTCATCTACTCACTTATCCATGCATCTATGTACTATTCTTCCATCTGTCTGTCTTCCATGCATCTATCCATATACCTCTGCATCTCAACAAACATGAATCTATCCAAGCTTCCATCCATGCATGCACCTATCTGTCCACCCACCCACTCATATTTACCCTCCCTTCCATTTGTTTATACCTATTCATCTACCTAACCACCCACTCATTCACTCTTCCATCCACTTACTAGTCCTCCATATGCCTAACTGCTCATTGCCCATTCAACCATACATCTACCTTTCCATACATGTTCATTCACTCAACCACATACCCACCCACCAATCCATTCATCTAACCAACGCACCAACCCATCCACCCACCCACCCACCCACACATCCATTCCATCTATTCATACCATCTGACCACCCAGACATGTATTTATCCATCCATTCATTTACTCACCCATCCACCCATATATATATCACCTACTCATCCCCCACTCTTCTGTCTATACACTGTGTATTCATCCACTCACTCACTCACCCATGTATCCAGGAATATATGTACATATTTATACATTTTCTACTCACACACCACCTATACATCCATGTATCTATTCATTCCTGCATCCCTCTGTCCAACCACCCATCTTTCTTCACACTCACACCCAATCATTTACAAAGATCCTACTATTAACCCCTCAGCCACTCTGCCCTGCCCACTGTCACTCAGCAGTTAAGAACAATTATTGCTCTTGCAGAAGTCCCTGCCTCAGTTTCTAGAACACATGTAGTGGCTTATATCACCCCTAACTTGAGTTTAACAGTATGTAATGCCCTCCCCTGACCTCTGTGGATACCAGGCAAGCACACAGTCCACATGCATACATGTAGGTAAAACATTTATACACTTAAAGTAAAATAACTAAATATAAAAAAATAAAAATAAAAGAAAGTAACTTGACAGGAAGTTGAAATCTGGAAGATAAATGGTAACTAGATGAACACTATCCTGGAAGAATGATTGAGACAGTTCAGGAATAAACAGTCAACTCACAGGATTCTTTGAACTAAGTAGGAAGACAGTCTAATTTCTAGGAAGAGAATTACCTTGAACCCTTTGTATCTCCCAGTTCTGTATGCAAATTCATATGCATCTGCCTACTTATTAAAAGCAATTGTCTCCTGTAGTTAGTCTCAAGCTTCCATTATGTTCCTTCCCACCTTCCAGTCATTTCCTCTGTCCTGCAGTGTACTTATTCACCATAACACCCAGCTATGTCCAACTATCGAAAAGATAGAAGGCTTCCTTCCTCTTCTGGCCCTTTGATCAGGTCCTTCTCTCTTTCTGAGCTTCCTCCACCTGGTCAAATGTGAACTCATTCTTCATTGGCCACCCGAGTGCTCTCTGTAGATTTCATTGGCCCTTTATACTTATTAAATCTTTGGGAGGTCCCTGTGGCTGCTTACATGTTCCTTTATCAGAACATGATTGCATAATCCTTCTAACTCTTTGTGGACTTGAACCACTTAGAGCTAGAGAACTGAGGCAGGGTTTAATTGCACACCATAGCTTTGTCATCTGGCCCAGTGCCCAGGCACTTACCAGCTGTTCACCATATTGTATAGTCTAAGAAGCAATTCCTCACTGACCCAAAGCATTACAGCGTCAAGGAAGGAAAGTGACCTCCATTCCAGGAAAAGCTTTACTCTGAGCATCATGGCCTCATATTGTGTTCCAGTGTGTGGTTCCCAGGTAATAGCAATTAATTTTATGTCTGCATATGCCTGCTGCCCACACCTCACCATCAGTTTTCAAACTCAACCTGAAGTTGAATTTAATCTTACATTCCCTCTTTTCACTAATGAAAACATGTCAAATCCTCTAGGTAGACGCTACATAAAAACAAAGGCAGAGACTATTGTTATGAGGTGACAGTAGAAATGGTCATTTACAAGGACACAGACAGCACAAAGAGACAAGATGCTTTCTACAGTTCTCGTAGGAAGATATAGATTTTGTGTGTGTGTGTATGTGTGTGTGTGTGTGATGCAGATGCGGGTATTTTGCATGCATGTGGAGGCCAGAGGTCAGCCTCAGGTGTCATTCCTCAGCTGCCCTCCACTTGGTTTTTTGAGACAGATTCTCTTCATTGGCCTGGAGCTGGCCAATTTGGCTAGGTTGGATGGCCAGGGAGCCCTGGGGATTCACCTGTGTCTACCTCACCTGTGCTGAGATTACAAACACATGCCACCATGCCCAGATTTTTATGTGGGTTACAGTGACAAAGTTCAAGTCCTCATGCTTGCACAACACACACATTCCCCGTTCAGCTATTTCCACTGCACAGCTTTTTTAACTGATGATTTTTGCACACTCCATAAAGAGCAATGGACATCCAGGGAGAACCTTAAGCCTCAGAGGAACTGGCTGGATTTTCATCCTATTGAGACTACATCAGGGATGACGAGCTAATGTGAAGAAACCTTGAAACACTCACCGGGCATCTGGAGGTGAATGCACATTCATGCATTAGCCACTCCTCCTCTGCACTCCATCCAAAAGTGAAGACAAAGCAGAGGCATGATTATTTCCAAGACACTGATGTTGGTGACCCCTGGGCTGCCAGTAGGTACTTTAATGTCTAAACAGGGCTGGTTCCTGTAATGTTTTATGCTTCCATAGACTCTGTTATCCACTGCCTCTTGGATGCAGAGGTACTATTTCCTCCCGTCTCCAGGCTTGCACTCCTAGTCCTGTACAGTGCAGCCTGGCAATCCTCACAAAACACAAAGGCATTACTTGATCATTTGGATCTTTTATCCATCACTTCTTGATTTATTTCACATTATTTTATGGCATGGATTTACACCTTGCATAATATAGACCTGGACTCCAACCTTACTTATTTATTTAAGAGGACTTGCATGTTTGTGCATCCATTAATTCTGAAAGGGACTTCGCCTGCCACAGGGAGGTCACACATGCCTTGACGTTGACCTGGAGTGCTGGTCACACCTAATCAGCTCTCACATGTCACTACCTCCTTAAGGAAACACCTTGCACAGTGGCCTCAAGAGCCCATTATCTTTCCTTCACAGTACATTGCAAGCTTTCATTTTACATTTAATTTTAAAAGCATGCCTGTCCACCACCCTGCAAGCTGAATGATGGCCAGGGCAGCATGGTTTCTGTACATAATCTGAGTTCTTGCTCTGTTGAGAATGTCAAAGATATGAGGGGCATTTGCCAGTATTCACCCAAGGAAGGAAAGTCAGGAATAGAAAGAAACCGAGGACGGGAAGAGGGAAGGAAACATGGGCTCAGTCACCTGAGACAGTCTCTTTGTGTGAATGTGTACATGTGTACAGGTGTGTGTGTGTGTGTGTGTGTGTGTGTGTGTGTGTGTAGGTACAGTGTGTGTGAAGGTGCATGTGCAGACCAGGGATCAATCTAGAGTGCTGTTTCTCAAAACACTGTCTACCTTGGTGGTTATTAGTTCATTTGTTTGGAGTCAGGGTCTCTCACTGATCTGGAACATACTAGTTCAACAACACAGGCTAAACAACATACCCCAGGGATTTTCCTGTATCTACTTCTCCAGTGTTGAGATTGCAAGTGATCTCCTCCACAGCTGCTATTTTACATAGGTTCAGGTCTCCATGCTTACAGTTTACTGAGTCTCCTCAGCCCTGAGATGGCTTAGCTTAATTATCAACTTGATTGGATTGAGAAACCACAAGTCACTCCTGCCCATGCCTGTGACACAGGTAATAATGAGATCACAAAGGCTCTGACCTAATGAATAGGTTAGTCCTTG